ACCAAGTTCCCATTAAGGAAAGTGACAGAGAAAAGACTGCGTTTTCCTTCTTTGGAGGGCATTATGAATATAATTATATGCCATTTGGACTGTGTAACAGTGCGCCAACATTCCAGAGACTTATGGACTCTGTGCTTTCAGGATTACTGTGGAACACGTGTCTTGTGTATATAGATGACGTAATTGTCTTCTCGGAAACTATTTCTGACCATGTCAAAAGACTTGAGGAAGTGCTAAAACGATTCGAAAATTCAGGGTTAAAGCTAAAAGCGAAGAAGTGTTACTTCGGAAAAACGGAGGTCACGTTCCTTGGACACAAAGTCTCAGCTGACGGAATATCACCTGACACGGAGAAAGTAAAGTCAATTCACAACTTTCCGAAGCCAACAAATGTGAGCGAACTTAGAAGCTTTCTGGGACTCATCTCTTACTACCGTAAGTTTGTAAAGGATTTTGCAAGTAAGGCTGCTCCCTTACACAAGCTCTTAAGGAAAGGTGTCGAATTCATTTGGGACAATAACTGCAAAAGTGCGTTTGAATTTTTCAAATCAGCTTTGACCAGCTTTCCCATTCTTAGGTATCCGGATTTCTCGCTTCCGTTTATCCTGTACACGGATGCATGTGACACTGGTGTAGGTGCCGTATTAGCCCAAGAAGGTCCAGATGGTGAACGGACAATAGCGTACGCGAGTAGGAGTCTAAAATCAAATGAACAGAACTATGCAGTTATCGAAAAAGAGGCATTAGCCGTTGTGTGGAGTGTGAAATACTTTAGACACTATCTATTCGGCCGGAAATTTACTGTGATAACTGACCACAACCCATTACGGTGGCTTATGGACATTAAGAATCCAGCAGGACGCCTAGCGCGATGGTCATTAACTCTTCAAGAGTATGACATAACCATTAAACATCGACCGGGAAAGGTTCATCAAAACGCAGACGCCTTATCTCGAATTCCTGCCGAATCCCCTATAGCAGCCACCTGTGCTAAGGCAGACGCAGATGTGATACCAAAAAGGTCATATCAGGACATCCGCGACCGTCAGAAAAATGACCCTCTCCTAGCCGCTATCATTAATTACTTAGAGAAGCCTGAATTATCTTCAAAGGCCCGTGAAACGGTAATATTATCTGGTGATTATGAACTCGGACACAATGGTCTGCTATATCATCTTTGGCAGCCTGGATCTCATAGACGACGTCAAGCTATTAGACGCCAAATAGCTGTTCCAAGGAGCCTGATAGACGAAGTCATGTATGCCTGTCACGACGACCTGACAGCAGGTCATCTCTCCTTCCAGAAAACGTATGACAAAGTACAAGAGAGATTTCATTGGAAGGGAATGTATTCAGATGTAGAGTTTTGGTGTAGATCATGCGTAGACTGTGCTACCAAGAAATCACCGAAAAACAGACCAAAGTGCCCATTGAACCCGCTACCGGCAGTTAATGGACCATTCGACAGAGTAGCTGTAGATGTCCTTGGACCGTTCCCGCCAACCTACAAGTCCAATAAGTACATTATTGTGTTCAGTGACTACCTAACTCGATGGCCTGAAGTATTTGCCGTAAACAATGCAGATGCAGAAACGACTGCGCGACTTTTTGTAGAGGAAATAGTGTGTCGTCATGGAGCGCCTAGAGAGCTGCTATCAGATAATGGTAAGAACTTTAGATCAAACCTGATAAAGGAAATATGCAAATTAACAAATACCAGGAAAACTTTTACTACTGCCTACCACCCGGAGACCAATGGCCTAGTGGAGCGCTTCAATGGAACACTCACAACAATGTTGTCAATGTATGTGTCAGGACATCAGCGTGACTGGGACACCTTTATACCATACATACTGTTTGCATATAGGACCGCCATCCACGAGACTACAAAAGAGTCACCCTTCTTCCTAATGCACTTGCGAGATCCTGTTCTACCCGTTGAAGCCGTGCTCTGTCCGCCAACATTTTCTTACGCTGTAGCAGACGACTATAAGGAAGAGGCAAAAGTCCGCCTTCAAGAGGCCTACACGCTTGTCAAAGAAAACTTACAAAAATGTCAACAAAACCAGAAGGAACATCATGACCGTGCAGCGAAAGAGACTCATTATACTAAAGGTGACAAAATCTGGTTATTTACTCCAACGACTAAACCTGGACTCTCTCCTAAACTTACCCACAATTGGCACGGACCATACGAGATCATCGAGCGATTATCTAATGTTACATACAGACTACAGGACCCTGATCACAAATCGAAAACTTTGACAGCGCATGCTAACAGGATGAAGCCGTATCTTGATCCTAATGACCGCCCTGATCACGACTATATCCCGGACGAGGACGTTGAATACGAAGACGAGACGGCCGATGACAACGGTCCCATTGTCAAAGTATTAGATATGATGCGGTCAAGAAACGACTCCAAGCGGTTAGAGAAACGTTATTTTGTGCAGTTTCAGAACGGACACACCCAGTGGTTAGGTGAAAATGAAATCAAAGACTTTAGGATTGTACAAGATTTTATTCAGTCAAAGAAATAAATAATTGAAGTGTATATATACGTAGGTTGTGTAAATAATGTATATATAAAATGAACATTTGTTTCGAAAAAAAAATGTAAAGATAAAACGCAAAAATCTAAGAAAAAAAGGTAAAACATGAAATGTGTATGCATGTTAAACTATTTTGTTATTTCTGTGTGTAAGTAATGTCTCTTTATCTATGAATGTGTGATTCTTGTAAGCGATATCAAATTGTCATTATCAGTCTACTACATGTAATTTTATTAGTGTGTCGGGACGCCACACTTAAGAGGGGAGGTATGTCACAGAGTAATCGCCCGAATTAATTGTTAATTAATTGTAAATGAGTGAGTGATAGGTTGCAGGTGCGCAGCGCAGGCGTTGTAGCCCTGTTTCCCAAGAGTGTGATTTGAGTTAGTTAGAAAGAAAGCGAGTGGACAAGCATGGATTTATAATTTGTTTATTTGTCATTTCTGTTATCGTTGTTTATTGTGCATGATAGAGTTCTGAGAGATGAAAGTGAGCATTAGATTGATTTGTGTGAGAAAATGGGGAAAAAGAGATTTGGTATGGCCATGCCCTGGGAACGCGCGTGAGAGAGAGGAGAACAAGTCTGAAAGTCAATGTGTGTGGACGTATTTTGTATTGTGAACAATTGTGATTTCTTATATATATATCTGTGTTGTAAATATGTAAATAAACGATGTAAATAAAAACTATCATCATTAATTACCAGTGCCAGTGACAGGGAGGACCCCCGTCACAGCATCATGATTTCATTTCTTAGCCGTCAATTTCCCTTAGTCCTGTAACATTCCATGTGGCAACCCGGGCCTTGTTAAACTCTACTAATTGACTAGAGATACACAAATCACGTTCTGCCTTCAATATATTTCTTAACCGAGGCCAAATACTTTGTGTCAAGTGCTCAAACAAGTCAAATTCAAACAAACGTTATATAACATGTTTTGTTAGGCTATAAAATAAACACCAATGTAGAGAAGAAATATAGTAATTTATTAGATATTACCCAAATAAGAAAAAATATAAATATACATAAAATGACAGGGGTTTAGACCAAAAAGTATTGGTATAATATATATCAATATGCTGGTCCTTAAAATTGAATCAACATATGCAAAAATACATAGACATGAAATATACAGCAAAAAGATGGCACATCAAACATTTAAAAAATGCGCGAATTGTGATTGCCGAATATAGAATATAATTTGGCAAGAGCACATATCTGCACTCAGCATTTATACATGTAGTTGGAAAATGATACAGAGATAATTTGATCAATGGTACATGTACGGATAGAAATTAAAAAAAACATCCAACATTACAGTTCCAACTGTTTTCCATGTGATGACTATTTGAATGTCATGAGTGTTCATGGTGTTTATTTCTCGATAATTGTAACTGAATGTAATATTCGCCTTAAAAGTCGATTGAGTATTATCCGTCTTTGTCTCTGACATCAACGACAGTTTATACGTGAGATAAATTATGCATAACGGGCATCGGCTATTACGCAAATTATTCCACATTTCAAACTGTATTTGATACCCTTACACACCAAACGTACTAGACAATGATGTCATAAATGTGTGATTCATCTTTATCGTAAGTTTTCTTAAGTGCTTTGATATGCGAATTTATTTTGTGTTTGATCTTATACTAAACTTTGCAAATATTTTTTTTCAGAATGTTACAAAATCTTACAAAATTTTCTAACTCTACCTGGAAAATATGAATAAGTTAAGTCAACCTATTTAAATAGAAATCGATGAGAAATACTGCTAAATATGTAATTTATGAATAAAAATTTATATGTGGTTTCTTTTATCCTTAAACCCTGACTTCTGTGTTACATCTCTCGTCTTCATCCGTCAAATGTTGAGAATCGATCTTGACGTAACTCCTGGGGTCATTTGACATCTGATGATGAATTGCGGTGGTTAATTGGTATCTCTTATTGCGAATAAAAATTCTTACCAAAGCAACAAGAATTAAGGTAATACCAAAGCCAGCAAGAATAAGGGAGTACGGAACCTCGACATTCAGTAGCTCGAGGCTACCGTAACTTTTTTCGAATTTTGATACTAAAGCAATGTGGCTAGCGTTAACAGCTATAAAGCGAACCAGAACCGCAAACTCTGTTGTAGCTGAAAGAAAGATAATTAATTATTAATTATAAACAATCAAATTCAAGACATTTCATCCTGACATAATCAGATAAATATATTTTCTTGGTTTGAATCATCAGTAATAGTTTTTGTTCAAATTTGCAAGATCATATTTCCATTTCGTTGTCTTTTAGTACGTTGTGGTTATTTAGTTTACGTCCCTCCAAATATTTATCACTGACAAATACGCCACTTTTAATGAAGGCAAGTGTTGGTATTCGAAAATTACATAATGTCTTAGATTGTAGAGTTGTGACACTTTAACAGGAAGACAAAGCATTGTTACCTGCAACTAGTAGAAATATTCCCCCTGTCAAACACCTCAGTGGTATTGGCGCTGTTTTCCTGCTATTTGACAAAAGAATCAACCAACCGACTCCACCAAGAACAAGAGTAAGTAGGCTTTCCAACTGCACATCTAGCATTGCTGAAAAAAGAAACATTTTTCTTACCTAAAGATTTTTATTCCATTACCTATGATACGTTATACCCGATGTGGTACAACTTTTGAGGGCTGTGAAAATCGAAAGTTCTTCAAATGTGTCTGTGTATTTTTAAAGTTGAATACATCTAACAAAACTAATATGATAGAGAGAAAGAGAGAGAGATTAATTTACAGAGCTGAGTGGATCCATTCGTATAATGCTCCTCATCATAAGCTTGGTAGGTCTTTGTTGACCATGAGTCAGATCCAGACTCCTTATAGTTAACGTAAAAGATGCTCATCCTTTGATTCTACAATAGAATATATGTAAAGAGATTAGTATTTTCTAAACTTTTCAAAACACAGAGGTGTATTCACTCTTAATTGTAATATTTCACAAAAGATATAATTTACCTGAATAATGAAGAAGCCAGGTGTTACGATGGCAATACCAGAGAAAACTAAACCTAATGCAGACGAGAATAGATCGGCAATAAGCGCCTTGTTTCGGGCCATCCTTGTCCGACAAAAAATCTGAAAAAAGACTAGATTGAGAAGCGGCATCTAATATCCTGCAACATATACTATAGGGTGGTGCTGCCAACACCCCTCTATCTCTTTCTCTCTCTCTCTAACATATGACTTTATCTCCCCAGATTTAGATTTTTATGCTGCTTTAAAGCAGGTTACATATGCATTCTTTGGAATATTTTATAATCATGTTCACGATATGTTTTATTTTTCTCCATTTCTTTCATGCAAATTTTTAGGTCATCCGAGTCATTAAGGTAACCCTATTGCTATCCATGTTGTCCATCCTCGAACGCTATGTGTCGGTTATCAACTTTAGAACGTGTTCAATTTCTTTTCTTGAATCATTTTGTCACATTTACGGTGTTGTATTGATAATTTGTCTTGTTTGTATTTTAGATTTACTGTAATAATTTTTCTAACGTTGTTCCATAGTTTCTTTCAGTTTTCCCATTCTGGACCCCTTCGAACACCCTCTTTGGTACCTCTACACTACCTGTATTTATTCACCTGAGTTTAGGCTTCCGCCCTTCTTAAAACCGGCTTTTCCAAGATATAACAGCACGAGCTCTGACTGACCAATATTTACTGTCTAAGTTTTGTAAAGTTAAAGTACTGAGTATATTTTAAAGATTTATTACAGACACTGACTTCTGAGGTGAGTAACATGTTTATTTACATTTTCTTCTCTGTTTTGTTAATTAAACGGTCTTGGGATAACTTTGTTATTTCAACGTATTTTAAAATTTAGTTTATTCGTTTGAATGTTCGTTCGTTTGTATAGTTTGTATGTTCTATAAATATGATAGTGAGTAGTGTTAATTGAAAGTATCAGCTCTAGTATTGTCGTATTTAGTTTCATTATGATTCTAAACAGTAAAGTAACTATGTAAGTAAAGTTACTGTGTGTAAGTGTAAGTTACTTTTAAAATAATGTAATTATTGTGTAAAAGCATTTAATACAAGTTCTGTAATGCAGCGCTGTGATGTTGACCCCATTATTATTCCATTTTCGTGTATGGTGGGTTATATGGGTAATAACTTGTATGTAGCTTTGAGTATTCAACTGTGTAATGCCCTGTTCACACGGAGAGTTTAATTTGCAGTAAATTAATGCAAAGTAAACTAATGCGAATCAAACTAATGCCAATTAAATTGCGTTCACACGACAGCTAATGCGAAGTAAACTAATGCGAATTAAAATTTTACTTCTGCAGCCAGGCGTCAGCACGGCTATTATGACGTCATTTGCAAATCACGTCACATTCTGCAGAATCAGATCCATTTGAATAATGTGGCAGTGTATATACACACATTTTAATGATTAACAAAATTTTCCATAGTTTTTCACTCAAAATAGCACAAGTACCTATAGCTGACCATCGACAAGTGGTATTTGACTAAATTTTGCCATTACGCATGCATCAGAATTTAATTCGAATTAACTTCGCTTAGCGTTCACACGGAGCTAATGCAAAGTAATTTAATGCGCAGTAAACTAATTCGAATTAAACTAATTCGCATTAAACTCTCCATGTGAACGCTAAGCGAAGCTAATTCGCAGTAACTTTACGTTTAATTCGAATTAAACTCTCCGTGTGAACAGGGCATGACTTAATGTGTTTACAATTTTTGTATTATGTAGGTCCCGTAATACGTCCTACGTTCCAGTTTACACGTCCTACGTTACGTCCTGTGTTCGGTGTTGCATGGTGCGTGGTGTAATGGTTATGGTTACTGTGGAGCCGGAATATATACTATGTACAGTTCTTGTAATTTAGATAAATGTGAAAACGCTTGTGACTTTTGTTCTTTACTATAATAAGGAAGAACCCGCAACTCATTTATTTATTACCAATTTCAACCAAATTAAGAATATAATTATGAAAAGCATGAATATGTGAAGGATACAAAAATTGGTAATTTAATTGTAACTGACTTCTCGAACCAGAGGTTTGGTACTAAAACAATTAAAATTAGTCTTATCCTTAAAATCTCTTCTTATCTCCTGCACACTAAGCAGTCAAGCTGTTGTCTTGATTATAATTATAATAAGCTTTGAGTCCACTGCCAAAATTGTGAAATTCATGACCCCAAATCAAAATTCGTGAATTAAGCACGTTAGCTTAGTTTTTAAAATTAAACACTGGATTGAGCTTCAGACATTCTTAAAAAGTTAGACTCAATATTTAAGGAGAAAAAAACTCAGTGAAAAAGAAATGAAAGTATCAGAGGCAGTAAAAAGAAAAGAGAAGAGTAAAAAAAGTAAGATGTTTGCTGAGAAAAAGAAAAGAAATAAAGAGCCATGAAAAAGAGAGATAATTAGTAAAAATTAATTAAAAATGAAAAGGACTATCATGAATAACAAACAGCCCCTTTTGAATAAAATAAGACGGTACTAACCTATAAGAGTGTTCTTCTTCGATATGGAATCCAGACCTTGTCGTATTTATGAACAATTAGAAACAAAATTGCTTTTTATTTCCTTGTTTCCTTATTTTAAGGAAATACAAAAAATTGCGCGCAAGCGCTAAAAACGACAGAAAAATCCAATTATACTGTGAACAGAACATGAATATTGTCGACATATTTATAAAGAGTATTCCTATATTAAATATGAAATAAATACACATACTTTCCATGCACCTTATCAAAAACCATAATTTAGCATATTTATATAAAAATATTTGATATTGTCGTGCTTATTCTTCTATTTGGATGTCGTAGGTCCTAAAAAAAGCAAAAGCCCGTGCCGAAAAATTGAATATCACCCGCGGTATGATACAATGTAATTGTCGGCACGGAGAGGTTCCGTTATAGGACTGACGAAGTCCAAAAATAAGAATCCAAGACTTATATTTACATCCTGTTATTTTCTCTCTTCACAATTTTTGATTTCATATTTTCAGAACTGGTATATCTACTAAAAGTTTTTACCTGTGTAAGAGCTGTTTGTGGCATGAAGTTTTAATAATGCTAATGAACATTATGGGGGGAAAATGACAAATCAATTTTAAACGCACTTTGTTGTATTTTTACCATAATTTAACAAGGGAAATTGTTTTTAATTAAATTGCGTCAAAACAATATATATTTTGGGGTTCCTAGTGTATATGGTTTCTACTTTGTATTCTACCGCGCAGTGATAAGGTTTCGTTTGTGTTAATATAGAAATTTGAACATCGTATATTTCCAATGGATCTCATGAGGCAAAATTCACTTAATGTTGTATTTATATATGAAACGTCATAATGATCTCAAGACTTTGCAATACATGCATGAGGCTTTATTAAAGCATTTGTCCAAATATATTTGACTGAATATAGCTGTGGTTTATTAAGTTACCTCTATTCAGTCAATGCTTATTTGTTGCAGGATAAAAGTTCTCAATGTGTTGTATATATTTTGATTACCGCATTTTCAATTGTAAGGACTATTATACTAATAATACTACAGAATGATCCGTCTCCCCTATCGATTTATAGTACTCACGGAGGGGGTGACCTGCCACCAGGATTGTTTCTCCTCCTAACGTCTTATTCCATATCTGGAATAACCGGTGGTCCGTGTTTAAGCCTTTTTAAGAGACTTGTCTAGTTAAGATTTTTTTTATGAGCGATCACTGTTCGATATATTCACCTTTTATCATTAAAATGTCATTATAGTATGTCATTTTCATCCTTTCTTCAAAGTATATCTTGGATTGTATCATCAAGCATATAACGAAAAATGTTGCACAAAATAAAATAACATGAAGGCTTTATTATTAGACTTATTTAAATAAAATAATTTCAAAGGTGAAATTTTCTTACATATTACGAACTTAAATAGATTTTTTTGCTTACTTTGGTATTTTTAAACGTCGATGATTATTTTTTTTAATTATACCCCTGATCAGGTTGGATTGTTATTGGATAATTATATATCAAAATATAAGAAAAATGTTTCATATTTTTTTCTGAAAATATATCATTTATTTAGCAGGTTTAAACTGCACAGTTTTTATCTAATATAAATATTGATACAAAGAGGAAAAATGTATTCAAAATGCTTATAGAGAGGAATATAGGATATTGAGAAAAAAAGCAGGCGGCTCACAATTATGATACAAACTTTTAGGGGGATCATTCAAATCCTAACAAAATACTATGCTCTTAAACATATTTATAAAACAGCTATATTTTCCTGCAATACAGAAATAAATTCTTCCCAGTTTCAGATTTAAATAATTTTTTCAAAAATACATTCTTAGACTTTCTTCTTTAAAAACACAAATGTATATAACTAGAAACAATTGAAAAATAGTAGTGTTGCATAAATGTTGTTAACTTATCCAGTCAGAAATTTTCTGTAGATTTTCAAAATTTGCCCGTTTTTAAAATAAAAATACAAAAAAATCAATCTGAATAAAAGGAACTCTAAAATGTCCTTTTATTCTACTGAAATCAAAAATTATAAATTTATAATATGAAGATTGCACATGTTTTATTCTCCGTTGATCTTAAACAATTTTTCTTCATTACAGTAATTTAAAACCCATCTGAAATATTTAACATGGAAATATGGAAAGTTTTGTTTTAGATGCGATGTCATGGATCTGTTCTATATTTTCTCCGAGGAAGAGTTTGTGTGTTATGACGGACGGTTTTTTCGAATGCTAAACTTCTCGTTGGTGGACAGCGAAATTTAATGAGTATCGGAAAGAACTTGACTCAACATCCTATCCAATTGAACAAAAACCACCTGTCATATAATTAAGAGGGTGAATAATTATAATAGTCACAAAGTAACAGATAGTCCACATCTAGAGGAATATAAGTACTAACATCCCCTCAGATTAAACTGATTTCATACATCAGAAAGATAGCCCTTAGTGGTACTTGACATTTGTTATTCTCATTTCCTGTACTCTAATAAAACAATATTTTAATTTTTGACATTATATTGTTAAAATTGAAGTTTTTACATAAAATGAATACAAAAATTAGATATACTAGTACATTTATATTTAACATATTAGAAATATATGAAATTAAAGTCATTTGAAAAGACTTACATGTAATAAGATACTTTTGCATAAAATGACCTGTGAAGAACTTCAAATCTGTATGAAGATATTTGCTCTCTGTATTATAGAGGTATGCCACAAGTCAAATGTTTATATTTTGATATCCTGTGACACTGTGACATAATATCATTTTATTCAATGAATAAATTAGAATATTTCACAGTAATACAAGATTTTATTTATTGCAATGATTAAATCTAATGAAATATAAAAAAAAGAATGTATTTAATCAAAGTACAATTTCAGTGCAGAGAGGTCAATTTTTTGTACCGTTGCACAATAAGATGCAAATTAACCCCTAATTTTCTTTGCAATTTTAGTTACATGTATGCTAATTATAAGCATTTATCAATTACGAGGGGCGTTCAATAAATAATGTCATCAGCTCCATGTTATACAACATAGAAATCATATGACATTAAGCTTGACTTTTTCTAATTAGTGAATCTTAAATGAATTTATAACAGTTTATGTGACCACTTTTCATTGCAGAATTTCATTGTGGGAAGCTGGAAAACAAGGGCTACTCGAGGCACTGCTTTAAAAATGAACTGTCAAGAAAATTAGAGTAAAATTGAACGCGTCATTAAAGCTGCTGTAAAACTTGTTAATTTCCCAAAAATATATTAACTGAAATATGTGAAATTTACAGCAACTTATGTCTGTTCAATACACACATGAACAGGTGGATTTCAATTAACAAAAATTATATAATGGGCATCAAAAATGGGTACCCTCCTTGTCAACAAGGACAAACAACCAATGTATATTAGCGATAATTCAACAAATTATCACAGATTATGTTTCACTGACTTTAAGTTACAAAGCAAATTTGATAGACACCATATCGGGGGTAGTTCACACTGTTTTAAAGAAACATTTGATTGTAAAAAAGTTTAATACTCAAATGTCACCCTATATTTATAAATATGAGTGAAAACGAGAGCGTGTAGAAAATCTAAACAATTATTTTAAAAAAATTAAAAATTGCTCTTATCCACGATTTTTTCTGAAATTCAAACATATCATGAAACTTGAATCTATTTTGCGTTAACCCCTCAAAACAAATTTGGAATAAGATGTACTTGACAAAATTGCTAAGGCCTATGAAGAGCAAAAATTTGCAAGAACACAAAAAAAGTTTTATACGCTATTTTCTTAAATATTAGCGGTCTTGTTGTTCAAATACATATAGGGACGCAGTTCATTTTCTAGAGGAGTCTAGTAAGCAAAATATTTGCCAAAAAATTGAAAGGTTTATGAGAGGAGGGAAACAGAATGAGGAATTCACTATATTAAATTCCTTCCTGACAGGATCCAAACCCACAGGCCATGAAGAGTAAATGAGTTTTGGGGTACACAGAAAGTTAATATTTTGTCACATCAACAATATTCGCCAGATTTTTCAATCTTTGACTTGTTTCATTTCCCAAACATAGGAAAACACCTTTCAGAAAGAGAAAAACAAGTACAGCAAATCATAGGACCTGCCATTTTCCAGTATACGAAGGGTCATACTCAAAACTGTGTTCTAAAAACAATTAGAAATTGAATAAAAATGTTACGAACATGTCTTTTAATTAAAATAGAATATTTTAGTTAAATCACTATGACAAAATCACAGAAAAGCGATTTTTGATTCTTTCCGAGCCCTGAAGACATTATTTATTGAACGCCCCTCGTACGTTACATGTATTTCACCAGTGACATACCTTAAGGGAGAAGTGACATTATATCTTAGATTGTTTTAAAAGTGTAAACTTTCAAGAACAAAACTTTTAGATAGATGTTTTTACATGAAATTCTTTAAAAAAAAAAGTTTTTCTCTTTTCATAGACGTGTTTTACAAAAAAAAATTAGTTCACATTTTTTCTAATTTATCAAAGCGGTTTTCTTTACCAATAGTTGTTTTATTTTGAACATACAGTGTCTTATTAAATAAATGAAAAGGATTGGGAACAAGTTCTGTCAACTTACATGTTCCTCTCCGTAAAAAAAACTATATGTACTGCATTTAAAATGCATGTAGTGCATAGAAATATAAATTCAAAAAGTGATACAAGTGAAATATTTGTAAAGTAGCATGACAATGGATTCGACAATAAACTGATGCACAGCAGAAAAAAGTTTCTAGAGGAAAATTTACATCACCACAAAATACCAAATTTTTATAATATCTACCAATTCTTCAAGGAAAAATAGCAACTAAAGAGATATTATTCCTGGCGTTTGGATAATTTCTACAGGCACAAAAGAAATGATAAACATCATCACATTTTCCACATGAACATATAGGGCTATTAATAATATTTCGTTTATGTAGATCATTCTTAAGTATACATTTGTGTCAAAGTTTACTGTTGACTAATTTGTATAACGTACCCAACCAATAGTTAATGTGATATATCCTTTAGGTTATT